ACGGCCTTTAATAGCTCACAAAGTTATTTATGTAACCACGCCATGCCAATAAATTTTCTGTAGCTATATCCACTCATGTATTTTACCAATACACATGTTATAAATATTCTGCCCGAATCCATTCCTGAGCCAGCTGTTCCAAACTGTTTAAATTATCTGATCAAATCATTAACACATCTGTTTAAAACATATTTTTACATATCTTGTCCTCAGGTGACCTATTTTTCATTTTGATTCCTTAAACATTTTAAATTAAATTTTAGCTTTGAATTTCAAATTTCTTTTAGTTATACTTTATTGAAATTACTGTCACAACCAGCTGGTTTTTCTGTGTAATGTAACTAACATTAACCCAGAAAATGACATACTGTAAAAACACAAATTTTCACGCAGTCTATAATTTCATGGTTTCCCGACAAAGCACCAAAGCCAGAATTTAGATACATGAATTCATAGAATACGAGTACCCATTCAAACAAAGAACGGTTTTATATCGAACTTGTAATAACTTAGTAGACCTATGAATTCATGGATGAAGAAATAATCCCTTAATTAAGTCAATGAAATTACAAAAAAAACACAAAAATTGGTGATTTCGCAGTAACAGAATTTGTAAGGGTTCACATGCAGATACAGAACGAAGATCATGAAACTTTTAAGTCCAGTCATTCTACCTTATTTGCATCCATTATCGTAAAATCAACGTGTGAAATAGTATTCCTAAACCCACAATTTTGTTATATTTTTTGAGCCATCATTTCCAGACAGCCAACAACTAAAGGCCCTTTCGCATAGTACGTCTGTTCTGTATACAAATTAACATGCAGATAGGAAATTTACATTTACCGGTTGTCATACTATAATATTCGTTGTTTCAAACAATTTCATTAGTTTCAACGTACTAGTTATAACTCCAAACTCATCGATAAAAGATAGAACATACAGAACTCAGAACCTTGGATAAAGAAGAAAAAGAGAATATAACAAGAGGCCCATGGGCCTTAACGGTCACCTGATATATTTATACAGAGAGTTGATTTTGTTTTTAACATGAACAGAAATATTATTCAAAGTGACAAAAAACAATAAAACCACCTTACTCAATATCTAGCATACAGATTTCAGACTAAAAAGGATTTGAAACTAGCACCTCTGATTCTTAACAAGGAAAATGAAGAAATTTTAGCACACTGACTCCTTTGAGCCCCACCCTACAGCCCTTGGGGGTAGGGCTGGCTCAAAATTTTCAAAGTATCAAACTGTCAATTCAAGGTTATAATTCCAATCAAGTTATTA